TCCAGTTTTCTTTGCTCGTAGACATTCTGTTTTCAGGATATCGCCAGTGTTTTGTACTAGCAAAACAAACATAGGCATCATTGGAAAAACATGGTAACCAATGAGGAAATAAGAAAAGGTCTTGTCGTGCAGCTTGATATTAGAAGTGTTTCTGCAACTGTGACCAGGAATTAGGTTGTCAGCAGTTTTCTCTTTTTCACCCAAACAGCTAAAATGTATCTTAAGTTACACCAATGTGAAGAAGAAATGGAGGTGGTACTAGGTACCTCCAGCAGTTCTGTACCGAGAACATGCAGACAGTACTTTCCTCAGTACAGAAGAATCAAGCGAAGACCATCTCCATGTTTTCAGGTCCAAGCCTTTGGTTGGGACCTGTATGTCTCATGTAGAGTTAGAGTACATTTGGTCTGGTCTTCCAGTTAAGTTTCCTCGGAAAGAGAAATCAGCTCATGCACAAGAAAAATGCTTAGAAACTGAAACCACCAGAAGGCAGCTGGAGACAATAGCAGATCTGCATCAAAATTACTATTGCCCCAAGTCAGATTGATAATATGAACATACCTTTCGTTAAGTGACACTATTCCTTTCATCTTCTCTCAAAAAGGCACCAAACAGAATCTGATTGAGTTATTTTGAAACTTCTTTATCTCTTATTTACTCACTGCCATCCCTCTCCGTACCTGAACTCCTTTCCCTTTCCTATGCAATACTCAGCCAAAGTCCCCTGACCCAGAACTTTGAAATTCTTGAGTGGTTTTGCATATCTCTCTGCTGTGGACAGAAGCTCACACTAAACTGTCCCTTCCAGCGATGTCAATACTTTGTTACAGTTACACCTATCAGTTTCAATGACTTTTAGTCCAGCTGCAACAATAGTGATTACATTTAAACTGCCATAAACACATTTCAGAGTAAATAACTTATTTAAATATATCCATTCAAAACTCCAAGAGCTTCTGCTTCATGTTACTGAAAGACAGAGGAAGAGAAAACTGCACGGGCTATATTGTGTTCGCATTTAGGAGGCTGATTTGACAAGCAGAAAATTTATAAGTGTAATGGGCCGGAGAAAGTGAGTTTAGGTTTTGGCAGAATTCAGCAAGAAGATGTATGCTTTGCTTGCAAGGCCACAGTCATGGGTGGCAGTGAGCTTGTCCATGAGTTTGTATCCACTGTGAATCGATCAGAGTGAGAGAGAAAACCAAAATGAATTGCATCAGTTTGTGGTAAGTTCAGCTTCAGGTTTAAGGTCTACAGAAAAGGTTGGGAGAAGAGGACGGAAAGTCCTGTGAAAGATCTCTGGCAGAAGTTTGGGGTTTTTTTGCAGTTTTTCAAGATTAATTGTATTGCTGTAAGTCACACACTCTTCCCACTGATGTCGTGGATTGAGCTTGGTCACAGGCTTGTATTTAGCCTGGCTGGCAGCAAATGCAGGTTGTTACGCCTCTGATGGTAGTTAGGTAGCCTATGTAAAATGCATGGCTCATCTCAGCCAAGTTTTAATTAGGCGGCTGTCCTCATTACAGAACAAGTTTAGCAATTCACTCACATAGGCAATTCCACTTGCAGCGTGAAGGATAAAATAGACCGGAGTGTTAACCACTGCCTCACCATCCAAAAGAGCATCCCGAGGGCAGGGTTGTGATGCACTGAACTGGGAGGCAAGTTATACTGATGATGTTTGGTCTATTCCTGCTCTGTGGCTCCAGGAGTTGGGTTTCTCTGCGTGTCAGTCTGGCTGGCGCCTGTGCTTTTTCATCCTCCGGCAGCTTTCGTTTTTCTTCTCCACAGCTGTCTGTGGGGTTCCCTTGCTTTCCTTCATCTAGAAGTTTGTCGATGATGGGCTTATATTTGTCATTCCCGGGTTTTAAATGAAGCACTACTTTAGCTACTTGGTACTGTTACTTTTGGAAAGAATTATTATTTTCACAGACTGAAAAATATTAGAAGACACCTGGAAATTGTATGTTCAAAACTCTAGGCTGCTTCCATGGGCCGGGATCTATCACTCTAGCTTTTGTCTAGCACCAATACCAGTGAGAAGACGGGATGAGATTTCACAAAACGCCTCCTTTTAACTGTGGGAACATGGTGCTTACTCAACAGGATTGATATTTTTGGGTACTCTTGATCTCTGAAGTAGTGAAAAGAAATGATTGATTAGACCAGAACTTTTCCACCATTTCTGACTTGCAAATTCTCTCCTTCTGCAGCTCCGGTTTCTGCATGTGCGCATATGGGGCTGCATAAGTACTGTGAATTTTAACCTACTTCCAGTAAATTTGCCTTTCTTTTTTTTCCTGTCTTACATGAATGCCTCAGAAGTTGTTCATGGATCTGTAGCCATCTCTGGGCCATGGTTTGAAAACCACTAGATTAGTCAACCTGCAGCACCAATGCCTGTGTAAACCAGTCCTAGGATTCTCTTTGGTGTAGCCACACAAGGTTTTGTGACCCAAATTACTCCATGTTTCACTTAGAAAACTAGTATACCTTGTGAGCCTTGCAACTTGGCTATATCAGACTACCTGCTAATGTTTTGAAAGGCTTTCCCTGAAGCATATTTACAGGCAGGATTTATTGGTTTAAATAGCTATGTGGCTCACAAGTTTGTGAGGTTAAAAATGCAGTAGGAGCCACTGTAAACATTGCATCACCAGCTGAGGAGGATCTGGAGACACCGTGTCGAACAATCAAGAAGAAATTCACTTTAAATACACCTTGGATGGCTGCCTAGAAGATGGGAGGGATTCAGTAGCTGAGGTTTACATTACAAGTTGCGTTGGATGTTTCCACCAATAAACAAGAGTAGCCTGACGTGTCAGTCTGCAGTGTTTCACGGCACTGCGCTTAAAAGTGACCTCTTCATTTTGGCAGATGTGGGCTAATCCTGTTGGCATCAATGGCAAAAATGCATCTAATTCAGTGGGAGCATGTTGGGGTCCTTCAAGAATATTTATGGAGATGCATCGCTACATGGTCTATAACAGAACCGATAGGCATAAAAATCAATCTTTATTCCCTCATGTATAAGCTAATGGTTTATGCAGAAGATTAAAATTCACCAGCTGAATCTCCGCTGCATTCAATGGAATCACAGGCTGCTTAGGAGAAAGAAGGAGCTGCAGTAGAAAACCTAAGTATTTACTGGAAGAAATGTTAAATGACTTGTCTATGGAGCAGTAAACATGACCAAGGATTTTTAAGCCCAGGTTTTCTTAAAGAAAGAAGATTCCCAAACACATGGCTGTAAAGAAGGGAAGTTTATGAAATCATTTCTTCAGCGTGCCTAGAAATGATTCTGAGAATGGTATATTTGAGTGTAAAATAACAATTTAAAGAGAAGGCCAGGGATAAACTCTTGTATCACTACAGGGAAGCCGTTGTTCTCTTCACCTACCCACATCCCCATCCGCTCTCTCCTTTTATCAGCTCTGGAGCTTACCTACCTGAGTTGAATCCATTCAACTCAGTCCAACAGAAAACTACTCCCTTTCTCACTGGATTAGTTTTCTGCTGTTCCAACGTGTTGAATTGGCTCAGCAGAAGATGAGACAAACCCGCTACAAAAGACGTGCAGGAGGTCTATGCCAGGAGTATGAGAAGGAAGAAGTAGGACAGGTCATTCCCCATTTTGTGGCAGCAAGGCCACTGAACAACTCAAGCCTTATTGTACAGCTTCATGTGCTACATGTGTGCTCTTTCCTCGTGATGAAGCGACCCTGTCCCAGACAGCTGTGAGATTGCTTGACCATCTTCAGGAGAAATAATAGGGAGGGCACAGGAGGACTTTTAGCCTTTGGTTATTTCGCCTGTATTCCTCAAAAAACAGATAGATTCAAGCCTGATCTAAAACATCTTTTGCCTCTAAGTCATGTCTTGCTATACAAACAAGCGTGGGACTAAATAACCAGTGCTTGATGGGGATGTGTGCGGACAGTAGGGTTGATCATATGTGTAGGTGCTTGGGCGAAAGAGAATTGATGTCAGCCGCGGGGCCAGGTCCTTGTCTTTTCGGGCTGTGAGTTCTACCTAGTCACATACTCGACAATACTCCTTTCTGCCTTATGTCTATTGTTGTTCATCCTGCTCGTGCGCTTGACGTCATGCCCTCGTATCTTCTTGTTCCCTACTTTTTATCCTCGCCTTCCATCTATGTCACTACTGTCTTCAAAAAGGATTGTTTGTAGCCACTTTTATTAGCAGAAAGAAAAACAGAGGAAGACCACAAGAAAGGAGGAAGCTGCAGAATAAATAATGATTGAACTTCACCATGAGAACTTCTTTTGATCCGCTGCAAAAATAAATAAATGCCTCCGTATCAGCCGGTAAGGAGAGGTGAACAAATCTGTTAGATACAGATGGTTTATTGTCTAGAATATTGTTTTTCTCATTTTATATCTTGCAGGAGCAATGACAACATGTCTGAAAATGTCAAGAAGTTTCAGTGAGATTTTTTTCTTCCCTCTCCCTGTCCTCGACTCTTCTATTTTAATTCTAAATATTCTCATCAACACACAAACATAATCATAGCTCCTGACGCATATGCATGGAACAGCACCTGATGCCTGTTTTCAGTATTACTGGCCGTAACTAAATGTGACAGCCTTCCCCAATGGGTATTTAACAGAACCGGTATTTTAGCTGCTCAGACAGCTTTTATTTAAAACGAGCGAGAGACAGCACAAGAGCAATATTCAGTAGCTATGGCATGTATAAACATCAGGTTAACCTGACTTCAGGACAAGTGCTAATATCTTTCTCCTAAGAATAAGGACACCTCTCCACTGGAGAATGCCCTGGCCGACGCAGCTGGGGCCCTGTGCCTGAGCAGCTCCCCGTGTCACCCCCGCCATCTGCTCCTCTCCTCAGGTCACCCTCTGTAACGAACCGGCCCAGCTGCCCCCACGGCTGTGTTCACAGCTCTCTAACGGATCGAGCTGAGCAATAACCACAGACAGATGTCAGCACAACACGGGGCGGCGGGCAGGCGAGCGGCGATGGCGATGGGGAACGGGCTCCCGGCGATGGCTGAAGCGGCACTGCTGCGGCATGCAAAGCCACGGGCTCACTGCAAGTGTAAATCAAGCAACACAAGGCAGGCTGCTGCCTCTTCGTCCTGCTCTGTACCCACGGCGACTAGCAGCCGTGGGGCTGGGTAAGGACGGTCCCTAAGGACAGTCCCGTTATATGTTTTTGTGATTCCCTCCTTGCAGCTGGCTCTGGTGCTCCTCGCACCCTCCACCAGCAGCCCGGCACAAAGCCAGTGCAGACATCCCCTCCTGAACCACAAATTGGGTGGGGATCCACAAGTTGGGATTAGCAAACCGAAATCAGCCAGAATGAGACACGATCGCGCTGCCGGGAGTGACGATCAGAGGACAAGGGCCGATACTTCCCACTTGCGGTAGCGGTGAACTGCTAGAGGGTCTCAAGTTGTCTGAAAACCCCAGTCTCTAACCGAGCATCCATGCCGTCTTG